ATGCCGCGCATGGCCCATGGATCAGTCGCGTGGCAACTCCCACGCCGAATCCGAGGACCAGAGTCTTTATTGCCGTGAACTAGCTGATGTGCCAGTTTCGGCACGAAGAAGGAGAATCGCATAGGTACCAAGATGATGAGATTTGATCGTATTGTTGTCGTGTTGGGCCTCGCTTTCGCTGTCTCTTAGCGCTAGTTGTGTGACGTATTACTCATTACTGTATTTTTTTAGTTGGGGGTGCCACGTTTGCTTACTATCGTACATCTGTAGTGCGATTCCAGGCGATCTTTACGTGTTTGGTTCACTTGATAGAACCTGACACTTATGACATTCCTAAGGCGTGTTCGTATGCACTGTGTTGTATCTGAATGCTCCCGTAGCTGGCCTTCAGAGTCGCAATCTATCTAAGGACGTGTTTCTGATGCGCAATTATCACCGGAGTCCTGTTATACGCAAATGAAAATATGAATTGGTCCAACACGTACATCCTGGGTATAGCACCTCTCCGTTCCCGTACCATAGCGCACGTGGATTTTCTCCGAAAATTTTCCGGTTGACTGCCTTTGCCGGCAACTCACGTGATGGACATCGAGATGCACTGAAAAATGCCAACACCGAGAAAATAACAGATCTCAAAGCGATCTACCTAGACAAGGTCTCGTCTCTTACATGCAGTCAACTTGCAAGCTGTAATACGCAAGACTTGTATATTCTCCCCTAGCGTGGAGGTAGACGTCATTGATGAAGGTTCATTGTAATTTATGAACTAGTCACAAAGCTCGAATTTCTAATTACCTCGCCCTATGCCACAGTATCCGTCGAGTTCTAAGGGTGGTTATATTCCTGCTAATTCTAGTAAACGGTCTGCACAGGCGGGGAACACAACAAGCCGAACGCTTCTGCAGCCAGGATAAACAATAGTATTGTTACAATACTCATGGCAAGTGGTTACACTGCTTTGTTCGTTGGGGCATCCCAAGGGCAACAGAGGTGGAATAAGCGCTCTTCGGGCGATAGTCGGAGTGGTCCTGTCTTCGGGCTCCTCAGTTTCCGCAGGACTTTTTAGCCGCGCGAGTAACTCGCGCACAAATGACGAAGTTCAACTTAGGCCTAATGTCACATTAGGTCATCAGTAATGAGTTACGGGCGTACACAATTACCGTACAAAGTTCGTGCTGAGGAGGTTGAAGTATTAGTAGTAAGTAGTAAGTAGTCTTACATTCGTCAAGTAGTAAGTAGTCATTAGATTGAAACTCGTAAAGCGGTACAAGCCAGTGGTTCCATCAGTTATCTGATTACAGTCTTCTGGAGACTGTCTCCAGGTGGGGTGAGTTTCTCATCTCATTGTTGACTGCTCGAATGTTTCAATAATGGCATGATGGTCGGCGTACTCAGCATGAGGATCTAGACCAACTCGAGGTATCCTCCACAGTTCTATCAATCGATTCTACCAATGACTACCATTTGTCGTATCCCCCTGGTTATGCTCTTCATCTCACCTTCACTTGGTGCTGGACCTGGTGCAGATGAGATATCCAATGTAAGTGTGTATCTCTTGAGCCATACCACGTTTCTGTTAGAGTATACTCAGGAAAAAGACCATACAAGCATTGTGGACTTCACGGCTTTGACACCATCCAAAGCCCAGGTGAGTATCTGTACTTGTGGCGAGATGGATCCTTCTGCTCAGTTCACAATCACTCATACTGATGACAGCTTATGCGGACTTGAGTGGCAGTATGGGGAAACTCGCTTGGATGCTCGAAGCTTGGATCTTTCAATTCGTCTTGACCCTAAGCAGAAAGCCTTCACGTACGTCCAAGCGAGCTCGATGGATGGCTTCTTCTGTCGAGATCTCATGATCAAGTAAGACAAGCTCATCGCTACGGTTTTGCTCGATCTTCTATTGGCGCTCGTGCAAACACCCTTCTGTCAGAGAGGACGACAAGGAGTTAACTGTGAGAGCTCTCGGACACGGTTGTGATTTGTCCGACTTGGAATACCCAGGGGTTACAGTAGGGGCAAGGGAGACTCCTGAACGACTCAAGGCAGAGGAACTGCTTTCAAGAAATGGCCCCTTCTCTCCCTTCTTTCATTTGAAGGGGGACATTCTGGAGCCACTGATCAACAGCATCGCATCGGAAACCGACAAAATCCAATGTGATAAGATATTTCACTTTCTAGCCTTCAATGCCCCTCCTCGGTACAGTGGGGGAAATTTGGATTGGTTGTTTGAATTTGTGAGAGACAACACTATGAGAATCCAACGGAACATCAAGAATTACAAGCCGAAAATGCAGAGACTGTTCGAGGGGCTCCTTCGATCCAGAACCTCTCGAAGGCTTCGAAAGCTGTTCGGAAGAAAGAGTGAGTCTCATTAAGGCACCTATTGATCGACGCTGTAATGTCTGTCATGATGAAGATGTTTGTGACAAAACCGACGGCGAGCACTGTTATCAGAATCACCAATACCGGGGATGGACCATCACAGATCAATCGGCGGCATAGAGACCGACCGATCCTTCGACACCTCAGCCGTGGGAACAGTTTGGGCGTGAACTGAGGCCGACTGAGTGACATCGATGAACCTGACCACCCATCAAGGCTAGCGATGAATCTATTAGATGCATCCCTAAGCAGCCGAGGCTGATAATCACGATAATCAAATACCACCCCGTCTCATCCAACAGGGTCAACAATATTTTGAGATGGCTACAGGCTTCTAGTCAGCTTGCGTGGGAGTTGGGAATTGAAATCATCTCGAGTATCGGCAGTATGAAGTTCACACTGTGAACATTGCTGTAATCAGAGTTATTGTTTGAGATTGTAATAGCGAGAGCTCATAAGTTATCAGCTCGGTTATGAGCAGGGTGGTCGGTTTCCGGGGTTTATAAAATAACCCCCATCCTGGGGGTTATTCGTAAGCCCCGAGCTACGATTCTATAGTATATAATCGCAGCATCCGAGTATATAACATTCACTCGGATGCGGTGACCGCATTGCGGTCAGTGATGAAAATCCAGCTGCATTCTTTTGTACCTTGGTTTTTCTTTCGCGCCCGAATAATTCATTAGCCCCCGGGGGTTATACCCGTTAACCCCCGGGTATTTATCCGGGGTTTATTTGACGGAGTTTATTATAAACCCCGAGCCACCGACCACCCTGGTTATGAGTCATAACAAGTCACCAATAATAAGTTACTTATTCACCCATCCACCTCACGAGGCATTGCACTGAGCACAATCGTTGCTATGCTATTCCGCAGAGCAGGTCGTTGGTGAAGCTCCGGAATAAATATGATGATTATCCAAATTGATGCCTCCGCCGCGGAGGATCCGCGGCGAACATTCGGAAGTCCTGAGAGCCGCATCGGTACGGAAAGCTCGGCGTGACGTGGCGATTTCACATCAGATAACGCCACGGCGTTATCTCACACTGAAATCCCATAGTCAGTGGGGTTGAGAGAGGAGTTCCAATCCCCGGCCCGATGCCGAAGGGCTGGAACTCGGACCCCGGCTGCTTGACGGTACAAATAATTCGATTGTTCAGAGCAACTCCGAATTGTCAATTCGCTCTCGTCGACGTGAAGTTGACAGTTCAAAGGATGGCAATTCAGACTGGGGCTGTTGTTTCCACGGATGTGAAGATATTGATGGATTGAATAGGCGTGCTAGTTTTTCATGAATCTTAAAGATTCAATCTTTGGTCCAATGCCTTTAAGGCATTGCCTTAGGAGGGGGCGTGTGGAGAGGCATTCGATTCGGGGGGAGGGGCGATTCGATCAGATGACGCTCATCTGACGAGCTGAGTATCATGAAGGTTGTTTCATGCGAGTGTGGTTGATTTCGGAACGTTCTTTTTCGTGAAGGAGTGTTCCGAGGAGACACTTTGCCACCGAATGGGCAATAATAGGGAGAACTAATAACCGTTTTTCATGGTACCCGGAACGATTTATTCGATGAACCGTTTAATCAATGACCACAACAGGTCAGTCAGAGATTTTCGGATGTTCGGAGAGTCACTCTCCGAGAGTGGACCCTCTCGCTGTTTTCCAAGTTGCTGATTAATGTGAGATGGTCAATAGAGACTCGTCCGGACTGGTATCTCCACGAATTTCGCAGCTGGTTGGGGTCCGTTTTTTTTCATCTAATGAAATCGATTCCGAGTGATCGAAAAACGAAACAAGTCACAGCCGCGGCGATGGATTCCACCCGGACCGGTGGGAAACGACGCGCACGATGTTCGCTGATGAGCTTCAAATGCTCCGCACAGAAAGAGCGTCCAAACACTAGGCGTGCGAGACACGGAAGCCGG